TTGCTCGTTTTTTTCTTCAATTTTTAGAACTCTGTCCTCCACTTTCTTCATTTGATTAACATCCTTGATTTTTCCATCAAATTTTTGTGTTCTATATTCTCCAATCTCTTCTCAATTTTCTCTGTTACTACTAATAATTTTTGAATTTCAAACATAATAATTTGCAATGTTAAAGTTTCTTTTTCCTGTTGTGCCATTCTTCCAATTTGAAAATACTGCCACTATAGCATTCAAGGTTTTTTTATTAAATTTCAAGCAAGTTAATTATAATCTTTCAAGTCAAGGTTTTGTCTTCCCTCCAATCCAGTTGGTAATAGAACTCCCAAAGAACACTTGTGTAAACAATCTCTGCTCTTCCTACTATCACTCTCAGTAAACAAGCTGAGAAACCTTGAAGTGTCAAATGATCAAAGAAAAAAAAGAAAAAAACCATTGTTTCCAAGCCTCCAGCCTCTAAGTGGCAGTGTTACTTCTTTTCCCTCTGTTGTTACAGCCTTCTTTATATTCTTTTTATATCTTCTTTATGTTCCAAATTTAAAGAAAAAAATTCTTAAATGGAGAAAAAAAAGAATCCAATCAAGTATTATAAAAAAAGAAAAAAATTAATCCATAGGTATAAGAAAGAATAAAAAGTAGTAGAAGAAAAACTAATCCATTCAGTTTAAAAAATAGGGAACATTTGCAAAAATTCCATCCATAAAAAGAAAAATTAAAAAAAGATAACAAACTAAGTTTAATGTAGCTTAATTTCGCCGCTTAATCTCTTCAATTTTAATTTAGCTTTGATTTTTGGGGGGGCGGTAGTCTCTTTTCTAATAATAAAATTTCCTCACCAATTCAACACACTTTCTCTTTCTGCTTTCTTTCCGTTCTGGAGCTGTCCCAACTTCAGCAGCTTCAATGACTGCATTTCTGTCATCAGAAATAAGAGCTTCTCCTTGATCAATCAGGGACTTTGTGGTGTCTCTGAGATCAGCAGGATGTACTCTTCACTATCACCATCTCTATGGGACGGTTTAGGTCCAAATGGACCGTCCAGCTGCAGAAATATCAACTGCGATCTTGGAGCTCCAAGATCGTATGTCGTGTCATCGCGACATCAGCTCCTATCCCTTCAATATTCACCAGATGTACCAGGATCACCAAAATGACTGCCAATGTCTGATGACAGATATGGCATAATAATAATAAGAAGCAGCAGAAGATGATGTACAGATCCGATCACTTCCCAATGAGTAGACTAGGAATTATAATTCACCAACTCTGGAGAAAGACTGTTTTTAAGCGACTATTTCATAAAGTTAAAAATAGCTGCTGAAATATCAAAAAATGGGCAGATTTGTGACATTTTCTTGGTTGCTATGTAACAGTAGCAGATCCAAAGACACATTTTGTTAGGAATGCTCTTTTGTTAGGTTAGCATTTCAGGAAAGGGCATGAACAGAGGTCTATTCTTGGTTTGCTTACTGGAATGTTAGGCAGAAAGTAAAACATTAGTCATTCTTATATCAATAATACGTTTCAAGGGTATGACAGGCTGAAAACAGGTTAAATTATTTTTTTTGCTTAACTGTACTACAAGAGGTTAAGATCTTGGGTAGTAATGGTTGAGATGCTAAATTCGTCCTAAATAGCCACAAGTTGAAGTTTATTCATATCAGGAATTTCACTAGGGGTGACTTTGAATCCTATTATTGTCTCTTACCTTAAAGTTCTCTAGAATAATGTTTCTCAATTTCAATTATTTTAAGTTGTATAGATTTCAATTCCCAGAATTCCCCAGTTGGTATGCTGACCAGGGAGTTCTGGGAATTGAAGTCCAAACATTTTAAAAGTTGCTGGGGTTGAGAAACACAGCTCTAAAGCATTCTTTTTGTGGATAAAAATACTTGGAAGAGTATTGCAACCAAGAAAAATTCACAAACTTTCCTGGAAGAGATGTATATAGATTTAATGAAATAAGTAATATTAGACTATCCTTCTTCAGTGTGATTGCTGCAAGAGGAATAAGGATCACAGTTCTTTCCGTGGTTATGTGCCCCATCGCCAGCTGGTCTTCTGGTTTCTGGTACGCGCATTCATGCCAGCCAGATGGTCTTCGCATGTGCCAGAGTGCCGGAAATCTGAAGACCAGCTGGCTGATGCACATGTATGCACTGGCCAGCTTGTCTTTCCGTTTCTGGCACATGCAGGCCAGCGGCATGCATGCACTAGAAACTGGAAGACTAGCTGTTTGGCACGCATGCACGCACCGGAAACCAGAAGATCAGCTGCACAACAGTCAACTGGTCTTCCCGTTTCTGGGTTCGTGCACATGTTCCAGTTCGCAGTGAAGACGTTTGCTGACACTGACCTAGCAATAGTGCTTTTCCTGGAAAGCTGGATATTTCTGCATGTGTTCAAAGATTTTGTGTATCTCTTCTAATTAGATTGGCTTCTGCTGACTTCCCTGAGGGACATTTTTCTCATGTCTTTATTGATGAGAGTGGCCATGCTGTGGAACCAGAGAGCCTGATTGCCATTTCAGGTGAGGAATGACAGAATGGAAATGATACATCATCCCTCAGGCGATGAGAATATTGCCGTATATCTTTGCTCTGGTTCTTGTCAACTGACTTACATTTCCCCTGTTTGGCATTTGCCAGAAGTTTTGATAGTGTGGTTCCAGAATTTCCAGTAATCTGTATATTGGGGAAACAGAGTCCTGGGTAAGATTGAGGAAGTCCTTTCTAGGTATTTTAATGTTCTGTTGTTGAAGACACAGAATGTTTTGAATGGCAGTTGTGTGTTTATATAAAGCCTTCCAGCAGCATTTGGCATATTGTGTTAGCTTCATACTAACAAACTAGCAGTTTTGGAGCTGATCATTTCTAGGTTTAATACTTATTAGCTGTGCTGTGAAAATAGGCATAATCTTTGCCTATTGTTAAAACATCTACAAAGGGAAACTTTGTGAAATGGGCTGCTAGGACAGGCCTTTTCCAATTGTTCTGCCAGAGAAGGTTGTTACAGATCCCATCAGTCAAAGAACCATTGGTGGGATCTAGGAGAAGAACCTTCTCTGCTGTAGCGCCATCCCTTTGGAACATCCTGCCCCTTGGACTAAGGTCTGCCCACACTGTATGTTGAAAGGCTATTTGTTTGCTTAGTTCTTTTATTCCCTCTTTTTAGCTTTTTATAAGTGCTAATATTTAGTACTTGTTTTCTCATTTTTAATGTTGCTTTATCTTATTCTATGGCACTCGGAGGTTCAGTGGCTGAGCTTGTCGATCAGAAAGGCTGACAGTTCAGTGATTAAAATCCTTAGCAGCACATAAGGGAGTGAGCTCCTGTTACTTGTTCCAGCTCTGCCAACCTAGTAGTTCGAAAGCTTATAAAAATACAAGTAGAAAAATAGGAGCCACTTTTGGTGGGAAGGTAACAGTATTCCGTACACCTTCAACATTTAGTCATGACGGCCATATGACCATGGAGACGTCTTTGGACAGCACTGGCTCTTCGGCTTTGAAACGGAAATGAACACAGTCCCTAGAGTGAGGAACAACTAGCAATATGTTCCAGGGGAACCTTTACCTTATTGAGCATGTTTTAATACAAATGGTTTTTATATTTAAGTAAGCAACCTAGCAAACTTTGGGGGAGGAGGGGGGAATGAGAAAAAAATGCTAACAAAGAAAATAGATTTCCATCTCTCTTTCAGGTATTCTTGCCATGATGGACCCAAAGACAAATGTCAATGGAGGTCAGCTGGTTTTGGCTGGGGATCCCAGGCAACTGGGACCAATTTTGAGATCTCCTCTGGCACTTCAACATGGCTTGGGCAAGTAAAAGGAAGTCATATTTTAATGTAGTAGCAGTTTATATGCTGCAAAATAGCTATTTAAGAATAAAGAAAAAATGTAAATAAATGTAAAGCCTATTGAACTCTCACATGCCATTGAATCACCATAGTGCTGACAATGTCTGTTTTAAAAATAGCTCTGGGGGAACTTTACTACTACTTCTTCTTGTGCCATATCTCTCATCGGATGTTGGCGATTCTATTTTTATCAACAGGCGCATGAAAAAGTGCTACTGAGTTTTGTCTAAACCAGTGTTGAAGGCATGATGTTCTTCTGCCTGGATCTTGTTTGCCTTCAGTCTTTCTCTGGAAGATTAAACGAAGTATGCCATATTTTTCCGGGTGTCTCATTACATGTCCAAAATATTTTAACTTTCACTTTTTATGGTTTTGATGATTTTCCTTGGTTTTCCAGGCAGCTTATCACCTCATCATTTCTTTCTTCTGATTACTGGCACATATGTGCGAGTGACAGCCATCTGGGCAACACGCATGCACACAATGGAAACCAGAAGACCAACTCTTCTGGTTTCCAGGAGTGCCGCAAGTGCAAAAACCAATTGATTATTGTGCGCACATGCGCGCCAGAAATCCAGAAGAGGAGTGTGTGATGTCACATGTACCAGCTGACTTTGTTCCGTGTGCCACTTTGAGCAGGAATGCCATAGGTTCACCATTACGAAACTAGCCTATAGGATTTTCCCCTAGACTGGATTTATTGCACTGCTCTAAGAAAGGGAAGTTGTAAAAGGACAAACTGTCCAAATTTTTCAATGCTTATGTGGCATTTTTGCTGTTGTAGGACTTTCGTTGCTGGAGCGGCTGATGTACTACAACCCATTATACCAAAAGACAAATGACAAATATAACCCACAATTTGTCACTATGCTGCTGCGCAATTACAGGTACATTCCACGTTCCAATTTCATGTCAAAACCAAAAATAGGTTTGCTTTACCACAAAGTCCTCTGTGTCAATGGCTGAATGTGTGGGATTTCTACTTTGGAAATTTGTCCAGTGATAATTTACAATAATAATTGCATTCTATGATCTGAGAGTTTCTTTTAAAGGAAAAACTGCATGTAAAGATAAGATTGTGCAAATGACACACTGAAAAAGTGTGACACACAGAAACATATATGTATCACAGAAGTGAGTACATCCCCTCACATTTTGTAAATATTTAAGTATATCTTGCCAGCAGTTTAGACATTAATGGCTGTGTATTGCGTTATTTTGAAGGGACAGCACATTTACACTATATATAAATTATACATATATAAATAAAATAGGCAGTTTTTCAGTGTGAGATACAGATATCTATATCTTATAGATAGAAGTAGTCCTTGACTTACAACCATAATTGGGACCAGAATTTCTGTTGCTAAGCAAGGGGCTTGTTAAGTGAGTTGCCCCCAATTTTATGATATCTTTTGCCACAGTGAACTGATTCACTGCAATTGTTAAGTGAATTATTTGGTCTTTAAGTGAATCTTGCTTCTCCCATTGATTTTGCTTGTTGGTAGCTGGCTGGGATGATCCCATGACTGTGGGAATCTACAACCATTGTGCCAGTTGCCAAGTTCACAAATTTTGCTTATGTGATTGTGAGGATGCTGCAATGGTTCTAAGTTTGAGGATTGTCATAAGTAATTTTTTTCCGTGTCATAATATTGAATGATCATTAAACAAATGGTTGTAAATCAAGGACTACCTGTAATAATATAAGTGCCTGGGTGACCAATATCATGTAGTTTTTATAAAATTCTCTTCACTCTAAATCACAGAACTTGATTTATCCTGTATGCCTAACTTAGTTACTGAATTACCTAGATTCAGTTCATATATTACTGTGATATCAAATCAGAAATTAACCAGACTGAGTCCAGCTATAAAAAGGTAAATAAGATCAGCACGTTGTGAAACAGAACAGGTACGACTTCAATTGGTTTATTAATGTATGTCATCTAAACTCAGCTAGGCAGACATATAATTGCCTTGGAAAGAGTGCAGCTTTTTAGAACATAATCGCAGAACATTTCTGAGATTATTTCCTAACAGTTAGAACAGTTAATCAGAGGAACAACTTCCCTCCAGAAGTTGTGGATGCTCCAACACTGGAAGATTTTAAGAAGATATTGGATAACCATTTGTCTGAAGTGGTGTAGGGTTTCCTAAACGAGGTTGGACTTGAAAACCTTCAAGGTCCCATTCAACTCTGTTATTCTATTTATAATACATATGGAAAGCCATTGTGCATTCCATGTACAAAGTTCCATCTGGTTCTTTGCTCAATCTTCTCCACAGATATGCTTATGAAGAAAGGGCTGCTTTTCCAGTTTTGTAGATGGGGGTTATCTCTGATAGACTTGACCAAAAAGTCTGGAGTAGTACAAAAACAGGCAACTAGGGGCTTCAGGTTCTAATCTGTGGTAGGCGATAAAGAAAATCTCATTCTCTTTCTTGTAAGCTATTCATGTTTGCTTAGATGCTAAAACTTCAGTCTTCACTTCTAGGTCTCATAAAGCCATCCTCAAATACCCCAATGAAAAATTCTATGATGAAAAGCTCCTGGTATGTGGTGAACCCGCAATTATTGATTCCTTCTGCAATTGGAGTGAACTGCCCAAGCAGGTGAGGAGCTTTATTCATTCAGCAGGATCACATCTGTATACTCACATACATGTATTGTGAAATACTTAAGGGTTTTCTTTTTCTTTTTTGCAGAAATTTCCTATCATCTTCCATGGGGTCTGTGGGGAAGACCAGCAAGAAGCGAGGAGCCCTTCATTTTTCAATACTGCTGAGATTAGTGTGTTGATGTATTATCTCAAGAAACTTCTTCTGGAAAATCAGGGCAAAAAAGGACAAACCAAAATTCCTCCCAAAGAGATTGGTGTCATCTCTCCATACAGAAAGCAGGTGAGACTTTCTTCAGTTGACTAAACTAGACTCTTTTCTTTCAGTAGTGGCAAACCCACAGTTTCTTCACGTGGTCAAAATGTCCTCTGTCTGATGTAACCAGATGATTTCTCAATGGGTTCCATGCCTTAATTTTCAGGAGGATGCAAACTGTAGCATCGATGAAACACAGTTTACAGCAGTGACATCAAAATGCATCAGTTATTCCAGACATGGGGTTTGTTTTGACAATTTGCAACTATCCTACATTATGCCTTATGTTCTCCATATGTAAGCTTTGAATAGCATTATAGTGCCATATAACAATATGGATTAGATGCAGGTTTTGGCAGTTTGCTTTGTGTGTGGGTAGGAGGGGGTGCAGCAGTTGGTGATGCCGCTGTGGTTTGACTTCTGGATGGTGGTTGCATTTCATCTATGGGATGGTTTTGGGTTTGAGTCTGGTGAGGGTGATTGGTGGTTGCGTCCTGTGTTGTTCTGGGTCCAGAGTTGGTTTTCGTGGCTGGGACTCGTTTGTTGACTATTGCTAGTTTCCAGATGGCTGGTAGGCGGGAGGTATTGTCACGTTTATTCATGTTGTGGGGGTGTTTCTCTATTTCGATGGCTTCCATAATTATTCTCTTGTTGAAGTGTTCAGTTTGGGAGATTAATTTGGTTCTTTCAAAATCATCTTCATGTCCCGTTGCTTTAAGGTGCTGGAAAAGGGAGGAAGTTTTTTTCTTCTTTTCTGACTGCGTTCTTGTGTTCTGCGATGCGTGCATTTATTCTCCTGTTAGTTTGTCCAATGTATGTGGCTGGGCACATTTTGCATGGTATTTTGTAGATTCCTTGGTTTTTTTAGCTGGATTTTGTCTTTGGGGTTTCTTAAGATGTTGGCTATTTTTTGGTCAGTGCTGAAGGCTGTCTTGATATTGTACTTGTGGAGAATTTTGCTTTTGATGTAAGGGAGGAGGGCGATGCCATTGTCCTGTTCTGTGTCTTGGTTCTTGGGGGGGGTGTCTCCCTTTGGATTAAGTTGGTAATTGTTTTTCTTTGGAATCCGTTGGAGA